TTCATCTTACCATGTCCTTTTGTTTCTTTTTTCCCTTCCCTTCCCATGGGTTTATTCTATGTATATTTGTTTGCTGGGAAGTTAAAACACGAAAAGTTCTAAGTGCATTGATTCATTTGAAAGTAGCAATAATGAGTCATAAATGGTTACATTTGTTTTCATAAAAAAAGAAGTATCACCAAATCATAAAAAACAAAGAGAGCAGTGGTATTATTTCACATTATTTAGTAAAATAATTTGAATCTTTTATCTGCTCCCTTATTCGGTGTGCTGCATTATATTCTGGTTGAAGTATGTGAAGAAACCCCAGCTTCACACAGATAGAAGCTTGGATGGGATACCATATTTCAGTAGCCTTTTCATATAATTATGGATATTCTTCTTTTACACTATACCAAAGCCAGTTTTTTTAAAGATTAGTTGTAATGTGGAATCTGAAATCACATCAGTGAGCTCTTTGTACTCTGTTAAGCTACAGATTCATTGTGTATCTTGCACTTTGAGTGATTCTTTTATACATGCATCATTTTGTAACATCATGCATTAGTAAACAGTTATATAGGACTCTTTATGTAATATTTAAAACTTACATTTGATATTATCACCATCAATCTCATCATACACAGCTTTAAGTATTGCGAAGCTATCAAGCTTACAAGTAGTGGATACACATTTTCCAGAATTCTAATTTTGACTCATAAGCTTGATTTACCATTGTCAACAAATACTCGAATAGTTTGTTTTTTTTTTTAAATTAAAATGACAGTGTTTCTTTGCTCCCTTTCATGAAAATTCCTGCCAGACCCAAGTCTGGATAACCATAGTTTGTCTGTTAATCATCTTTCAAGTAGAAATGGTTTCCCATGAAGGAGACAGTTTATCCATCTTACAATTCAATTAATTGCACATATGCTTTTCCCAAAGACAACTATTGAACTTCACTGTGCAGCAAAAGTACTGTATGCATATATCCTACGTTTTTCCAAATTTAATAAAATCAGTGGCAGGGTGAGATGGGCAAATAATGTCTTTGTGTTATTATGAAAGCAGATTTGACCATAGAGACCCTGTGAAATTGTGCTATGTGTCTCTGGGAGTCCACAGACTTTTGAGAACTGCTGTTAAACTATTAAATCTTCTTTTGTTCTCATTGGTAATACAGTAACTGCTGGTAATGTTTTCACAGATTTCCCAAACTTTGATGCACTTACACTGTGGAATTTTTCATTTGCCTCACACTCTCCTGAGTCTACACCAAATTGTGGCATTCAGGATGAGACTTAGAGTGGTGGACAATTTTCTGATTGTTGCAATGCTATTATAAAAAAGGATATAATTTTAGTAATAAAAACATTGGTATTCATTAAATGCCTGCAGTGTTCATGTCTTTTTATGTTTGATATTATCTACCTTTGACCTTTTATTTTACATGGATGTTGTAAGAACTAAATTTCTATGTAACAACTGTAAGAATCTATTTTTATTGGATCACATGTTCTAAATTATATCATGTTGTGAGGTAATTACGTACTGATGAGAGTACAGTGACTCATTTAGGGGTTCATTAGTCAACTATAGTTGAAGAAAGAGAGGAAATTCCTAAGATAGTGATGCCAAATGATCAGAATGTTTCAAAGCTGCAATGGAAAAAACATTTTTCCTCATCTGTATATTGGAAGTAGAAATATTTTCTAAAAAAGAAAGTAGATGAAGGTATACTAAAATGGAACGAGTAAAGTCTAAAAGGGAGAGTTTTCATTTGAAATAATGTTATGAAAGTTTTTAGATATCCCAAAGGGATTCACCCACACCCAAAACTTTCTTGGTTCCCTAAGGGTCTGAGATTTGATGTTAAATGAATGTCATTAAACTATGAAAAGCAATAGCCAGGTTAGTCTGTGCTTGAATAATGTGATGGGTCAAGAGTAAGCAAGAGTTCTTGGGAGATGGAAGAGACAATCAAGAAATTTCAGGAAGACAGAATGTTTGTCTTCAAGAATTTGCCAGTAATTTTGACTTTTAAAGCTAAAGTAAAATCTGAATAATCATCTGATTAAATCTACTGTCTTTTCCCCCCTCATAAAATATATAGTATTTAACTGATAAACAGATCAAATGAAAATAAGATGATTGGATGGATTTTACATAATAATGTATACATTAAATATGTAATTTTAGACTTTACAAAGAACTTCAGCCTTTAGATTTTATTTTTTTAATGTTTATTTATTTTGAGAGAGAGAGAAAATGTGTGCATATGTGTGTGTGCAAGCAGGGGAGGGGCAGAGAGAGAGAAAGAGAGAATCCTAAGCAGGCTTTGCAATGTCAGCCTAAAGCTTAACGTGGGGCTCAATCCCATGAACATGAACCCTGGGATCATGACCTCAGCCAAAATCAAGAGTTGGATACTTAACTAACTGAGCAACCCAAGCACCCTCAGCACTTCAGATTTTAAAAAGAAGTTTTACATTTACTATTTCACTTTAATATTAAATAAAAAAACTCTGAAATAGGTGAGAAAGGAATTCTCACTATGTGCGAATTTATTTACCCAAAGACATAGGCTTTTTGATTGAAGGGTTTGAATTAAAATTTTTTTTAAAATTTTTAATGTTTATTTTTGAGAGAGAGAGAGAGAGAGAGAGAGAGAGCATGAGTGGGGGAGGGGCAAAGAGAGAAGGAGACACAGAATTTGAAACAGGCTCCAGGCTCTGAGCTGTCAAGCACAGAGCCAGACATGGGACTTGAACCCATGAACCATGAGATCATGACCCAAGCTGAATTTGGACGCTTAATTGACTGAGCCACCCAGCTGCCCCTAAAAAATTTCTTTTATGTTTTATTTATTATTTTTGAAGGAGAGTCAGAGTGTGAGTGGAGGAGGAGCAGAGAGAGAGGGAGACACAGAATCTGAAGCAGGCTCCATGTTCTGAGCTGTCAGCACAGACCCAGACATGGGGCTCAAACCCACAAACCATAAGATCATGACCTGAGCTGAAAGTCGGTCACTTAACCAACTAAGCCACCCAGGTACCCCAAAGGGTTTGAATTTAAAGCTAGGACTTTGGACTAATAGTTCCCTGTACTTGGTGCTGCACAATGTTGGCTGCCTTGCTCCTTTTAAGTGATGGGATTGCATAGTTATGCTCATTATGTATTCTGGCCTTGGAGGTTATCCAAAGAGAAGATAAATACTCTTTGGTATTTATCATCTTTTGATGAGTACAACATCATCTTTGGGAAAGGGCATCTGTAGAGCAAGATTCTCTATCAGGTCACTGTTGAGAAAGTTTGAGGAAAGTTCAATTTGAATCAGGCTATCCTAGTTCAAGTCTTGCTGTGGGCCTTGCCTGTGCTCTCTGGCTCCATTGTTAGGAATTGTCCTTTTCTTTTACTTTTTTTCTCTTTGTTAGGCTTTTAGGAATTAATAGTATTTCCTCCATCCCTAAAGATACTTTGAGAACTCCTCACATGAACTTATGACCAACCAAAGGGATAAGGACATCATCTATCTTGTATGTTTCACCTTTTATAATAAAGTAAGTGATATGGTAAACTTACTCAGGAAGAGGCAATAGCTATTCAAATCCAAAGGATTTCTTTTAGTTTATATCCCATTTTTAGTGTGTATGTGCGAGACATTAGCATGTGAGTTAAGGACTTAATGGTATTTCAAATTCTTGGTCAACTTTTCACTCTCATATTTCATCTGTCAAATCTAAATGCTCATAGGAAGCCTTCTATTCTGTATTATAGGGAGACTAAAGTGGAAGCAATTTCTGTTTTGTGTCAGATTACTTCACTTCAAACATAGATGAGGTTCTTACCTTTTGTTTGCTTTCCAACACTGCCTAGTTGAGTACTAAACATTTTCTGTAGTTGTTGTTAATGGTGATGATGATGGTAACACCACTACCACAATGGAAGCAGGAACATTCTCTTTTACTTCAGTTGGCATTTGATGTCTTTTGAGTTATTTTAAGCCTCATTTACCCCATCTTATTTTTCCATCTCAGCAAATCTATTTTGACTTTTTTAAAAAACAGGTAAGTCAACAAAGCAAGGACTGGAGTACACGTGTTCACAGGAGCACCTGTGCTTGGGACTTGAGAACATTGCTCCACAGCACTGATTTGTGACACTGTGACAGCTACTGGTGAGGAGTTTTAGAATGTGTCACAGCTGTAGATGTTAAGTGCAAGATGTGCTGTGATGTCTGCCACCTGCCTGGAGACGCTGTCTTCTGCTATGAGAAATTTTTTCTCTTAATCTATTATGTCTTTCTGTATTTTTTTTTTTTTTGGCCTTCTATAAAATTTGGTAAAATGGTATTTTTGTGGAGTAGATCTCTGCCTCTTTTATGTTAACAGATACATGTGCTTAAGAGACTTAACCCTCTGGAGGCATTATATTGAATAAGTAAAATTTGAATAGGAATATTTCATATTCACATAATGGCAGTGTATTGCTTGGCATCTGATAGATGCTCTGTAAATGTTATTTGTCATGAGTTCTTGAACCCAAAAGTTAATTAAATGACATTCAATTAATAAATTTTTGTTGAGCCATATACAATATTAGGTGAAGAAATGAAAAATTGATAAGGCAACTACTGGGCTAGCAAATTACTCTGCGAGTTGGAAGGTAATCTCACAGACAAAAGCTATTTTACCATGTGTGTTGTTAATGGCAGCAATGGAAACACATAAGAAGTGAAATTGAAGAAGGGGACAGTTTAGCTATTCCTGGCAGGAATGGGGAGGGTATCAAAAGAAGAATCATTGTCTGGCCATTAGATCTGATCTAGTGCTTGAAGATGAGGAGGATGAAAAGGACATTCTTTTTTGTTCTACTTCTGTCAGAACATATTTGAAAGATAAAATAGGTTTCCTGTCTGACATTACTATCACAGGTACTTTGGAATGTTTGCTCCTTTTATAACCAGGGTGGTTTTTCCCTGCGTCCCATGCTCACTGTGTTTCCATGCCTTGTTTTGTAAGAATTGCCTGAGGTTCCTTCGATTGAGGAGGAAGTGGAAGAAACAGAGTCTTGGGCGAAGCCTTTGGTCCACCTTTGGCAGACAAAGTCTCCAAACTTTGTGGCTGAGCAGGAGTATAATGCAGCCATGGCCAGAATGGAGCCACACTGTGCCATCTGTGCTCTCCTTATGCCATACTACAAGGTAATAAGGGTGGAGGGGTTGCTCTGAAGGTTTCCTTTCACTGCTGCACTTTTTGTATGACCATAAAAACCCAGATGAATCATTCTAAGGTAAGTATGCACATGAAAAGAAAGACACTGATTCTTATGTAGCCACATGGCCGTTACAGAAAAGCAAATAGAATTTCTGAGGGCTACTTGAAAGATATTTTTCTGATAGTGCTTTCTTTATGGTTTTAAATAAATGATTGGTTTATTTGTCATTCTTAGTTTATTGCAGTCAAGGGGAAGTTCCCACCTTTTTTTCTGCCCTTTTCATCAAGAAACACATAACTTAAAGCTTTACCATAGTAGAAGTATTGCAAAGAAGTAACTTAGACCTAGTCTCTGTTTTGTGTTTGAAAATATCACTCTCAATAATATGTCAGCTCTGGGTCCATATTTAAAGGTGTCTCTCTTTATCTTCCCTTGTGGAACATGCATAAGATACAGCAGGACTCAATACAAACTGAATTGTTCAGTTCACCCTCACAGCCAGCTATGCATGGTGCTGTTTTCAGTGCTATTCCACATATGTCATACTGAAGGCATTTTAGTTCACTGAGGGCCACATTCTTTAACACTAACCTGGACAAAGTGATCTTTAGGAATCTAGTAAGGGTGGAACTTCTTGACCTATTTTAAGATACACTATATTATTATAAAGTGTTTTGATGTGAGCATTCTGTTCTGAGTTATATTCTTAATAATTGAATCAGAAGTATTTTATTTAAATTTCTTCTCTTTTAGAGTTCATGTAAATATTTTTTCTTTAGACATTTCAAGGCATGAAAATGTGTGATATACCACATATTCAGACCTTTGTAAATGGGGGAAGTAGCTTTCTCACTTTTCTTTGATGTGGCCCTTGTAAGTGACACATATTGTTTTTATTTTCTGTTTAGTCATTGAATATCTGTGTTTCCTTGGAAAAAGTTAACTTTTTATTGACTCATTTCTATATCATAACCTACCTGTATATTTCCACAATAATTAAAAAATTCCCACTAAAATTATAAGATATAGGGAAATTTATTAATTTAACAACTCTGGAGATAATAGGATACTTCATTAAGTACAGTTTCAATTAAGCACTAAGCACCAAATGCTTTTCATATATTTTGGTGGGAGATGACAGTTTTGTTTTGCACATAGTATTTTCTTATTTAGTGACACTTGCCAGATCTTTCTGTCTTGATGTTTTAAAACTTTGTGATGAGGTGAAAACCTTCAAAAATTCTGTAAAATTGCACAGATTAAAACTGTGGTCTTTGAAAACACTCTTTCAAGTGTGAGTAGGCAAAATTCATCAGTAAATTAAACCAGGTCTGCTAACCTAGTGCAAATAAAGAAGTGAATAAAAATTCATCAGAAAAATTGATGCTTTCCATTAACTGTTTATGTAAGAGTATAGTTTTCTACAAGCAGATGTACAGAATGTCCTTTTTCTACAGCTTTAGCTTCTGGACAGGAGCCTGAAGAGGAACATGATAAAAAACTAATAGTTATATCAAGGAAAGCAACAGGAAGAACAGAAGCTGGAAGTTAGTGCATGGAACCTGTTAGTGGATTTGGGTGACCAGAACAAATGATGAACTTTTTTGCATGTTAATCACTCATGTGGGAATATTATGTTTTTCAGCCAGATAGCAGCAATGAAGAAAATGATTCTAGATGGGAGACAAAATTAGACGAAGTGGTTACTCCGGGAGGAAAGACTAAGCCCCTCATTCCAGAGATGTGTTTTATTTATAGCGAAGAAAATATAGAATATTCTCCGCCTAATGCCTTTCTGGAAGAGGATGGAACAAGTCTTCTGATTTCCTGTGCAAAGTGCTGCGTGCGGGTTCATGCAAGTAAATGAATCTCTCATTCATCAGTCGCTGGCTTTTCAGTGCTTCACATAGTCTTTTTCTCACCCATTTGCCCCCTGCCAAATGTATTGCATTGAACTATTGGCATTCTTAATGGTTAGATCATTCTTTCTCACTCTGCTTCTGATGAAAGTATGAGTAAGTATAATAATCCCTTTTTCTACAGTTTTGTGCAGTGTCAGTGGAGAGCAGTTTTGTTTGTTGTGGGGCTCCTTTTATGTACTTGAATTTTATTTATTTTAAGATATAATTTGGGGTGCCCGGGTGGCTCAGTCAGTTAAGTGTCCAACTTCGGCTCAGGTCATGATCTCATGGTTCATGGGTTCGAGCCTCACATCAGGCTCTATGACTGCCAGCTCATAGCCTGGAGCCTGTTTCAGATTCTGTATCTCCCTCTCTCTCTGACCCTCCCCTGCTCACGCTGTCTCTCTCTCTCTCTCTCTCTTTGTCTCTCAGAAATAAATAAAACATTAAAAAAAAAGATATTTTGTAGAAACTTATTTTTAAGCTCTGATGTTGATTCATGATTGTTTTTCTTTGTGACTTTTTAAAAAGAAAACAACATTTCTTTGGTGATTTGGGGAATTATTGTTAAACTTAATTATGAAGTTTAATTTTTAGTCTTTGTAAGGGTAAGAGATCTCTCTTGCCTTCCAGGGGAGAACAGTCGTTACAATTGTTTCACCCCCGGACTGAGATGGTAGGGCTCCATACCTGTCTCAATTTAGTATTTTCACATCATGGGATAAATGGCAGATAGAGGTTTTTTTTATTGGTCTGCCATGTAAATTCTCTGAAATGTGAAAAGGTATCTAAAGCATTTCAGTATTCTGGATCTCACCAAATTATGCCATATTAACATACTTATGTATGGCTTATCTTTGTCAATATAGCTTACATACAAGGTAGGCATTACCTTCTGTATTTACCCCTAAGAAACACCAGTTTTACACTAAGTTGAAAAAGCTTCACTATCTTTTATTGATTAATTACATACTGTCAGCTTCCCCAAGATATTTTTGAACATAATGTACTTAAAACATAGCAACCTTCTTGTTGTATTTAGGTCAGTTTGTAACATGCACATATATACATATACACACATTCACCCTATATTATTATAAGTATATAACAACCAATTCATCATTTCACAAAAAACTAGGATTTAATTTTGATTCCTGAATGTACTAGCTATAGAATTTAGCCATAGTATTTCATAAACATGTGCCTGAACTAAACATTTTATAGCCTTGCTTAACTATGATAGGCTTTTCTTTGGTAATTACATTTCTGTAATTTTTTAAATTTAAATGTTATAGAAATTTGATACTAAAAATTATTTCTTTAAATCTTTTAAAACCCTTTGAAAGAAAGTCAGGGTAACACATGTTTGTTGTTACCATTTAATTGCTGCTTATTTTTGCATCATCAGCTATCCTTACATAGTTATTTTCAGTCAGGCATATACTGAATAGACAAGTAGAATTGAAGGTACTCCTTCATCACTAACCATGAGTTGTGCCTCCTCTGTCCCTATCACTGAAATTAAAGCTAATTAAACATTTTTGAAATGTAATTTTCAATTACATTAATTTGCAAAATATGTCACAGTTTATGTATTGTATCATTTTAAAGCTTCCCCACATTTTGTTTCATAAATTACAGCTGTTTTTGAAATATGTTTTATATGAGTAAAGGACTGGGCCTGACAATTTAGAAATTTACTCATTGCAAGAATTATCATCAGTATTCTCTGATAGCTATTAGGAGCATTTAGTAATGATTATGACCCATACTCTCATGTTTCCTGGGACTGATCTTATTAGTTATGAGGCATGAGAACCAAAAGTATCTTTGAGACAGCCTAGTTTATGTTTTGTCCTAAGCAGTGAGACTCATGAATGGTATCATGGTAGGAAGTTCTGCTTTTATTTATTCAGGGCTAAGATGTATAATATTGCCAAAATACGAAAGACCTAATTCATGGGTCCATACGTTTATTTTATAGGTTGCTATGGTGTCCCTTCTCACGAGATCTGTGATGGATGGCTATGTGCTCGGTGCAAAAGAAATGCATGGACAGCAGTAAGTGGCCTATTTTAATACATTCTAACCCCTCTTCTCACTCTGCCTAGTGTGGTCACGTTTAAGTCTAGCAATAAGGTAAGGTTTTGCACATGCTTTTGTGTGCACTTCTACACTTACCTTCATTTCCAGTCTTTTCTTTCCAAATCATCCTTTCTGGTGGCTCTGTTCATCACAGAAATATTAAATAAATTTCTGGGTGTCACTTTTCTACTCAGGAGTTTACAAAGGTTGCCAGTTTATCAAAGCAAGTCTAAATATTCCTTCATTTTCTGACCTAGCTCTACTTTGCAGTTCTTAAAAATAAATATTCTAAGTAACAGGGGCGCCTGGGTGGCTTAGTCGGTTAAGCGTCCGACTTTTCACTTAGGTCATGATCTCGCGGTTCGTGGGTTCGAGCCCCACATCGGGCTCTGTGCTGACTGCCAGCTCAGAGCCTGTAGCCTGTTTCAGAGTCTGTGACTCCCTCTCTCTCTGACCCTCCCCTGCTCACGCTGTCTCTCTCTCTCTGCTAGAAATAAATAAAAAAAAATTTTTAAAAATTAAAAAAAAAATAAATATTCTAAGTAACAGTCAAGGTAAGGATCCTCACTGACCCCTGATGAAACCATGCTCATATATAACTTTTCCACTAACATGTGGTCTTTCCCCAGTTTTTCACTCATGCATTCATACTTCAACAAACTTTGGAGTCTGTCCTGTGGTAGGCATTACCATGAACTTGAGACAAAATCTTTCAAAATCAAATGATACAGATCCCACTTGGGGGACACAGATTCCTTCTCATTTTAAGTTGTTTTTCCTGATGAACCCTGTTGAAACTTAGGTTACATCCAAACATTAAGTTCTGTTCCACTAATCTACCCTGTCACCTGTTTTTCCATTTAATTATGTGCTACCTTGATATTTCTTTAAAATTCTCCTTCAAGAAATATCAAAACATTTTTGAAAGTTAGGACCTGTTAGATCTCAACATTTTTCCCTCACTCTTGATCTCAGAGAAGATTATAGTAGTAGCATTTACTTTATTTCTCAGTGATCTCTAATGACAATGAATTAAATTTCTTTGCAACTAGAGTTAAAAACCTGAAGCACAATGTAAGAAAAATGCCTTAATGATGTAAATTTATATCATGATATTTATGTTTAGCTCTCAGTGTTGAAAGAGACATATGGTGACTATAAATTAAACATGTCTGAGAATGCCTTTCTTAGTAATTTTAGCACTAGTATTCATTAGGTAGTGAGGGAAAAATGGGGGAAGTATGGACATTCTTTATAGCCCAAATAATCGGATCTATATAGTGTTAGAGGTACTATATCCAATTTAAGAAGTCTTTCATTAGTGGGTCTAGAAAACATTTTCATATTTCCTTTGATGTAATCATTATATTAACAAAAACTATGTAAATGTAGAGTTATCTTAAATTTGGGCAGGAAGTCTTGCTGTAATAAATACATTCAATTCTTATTTACCATGCATGTCTTGTATTTGTGGTATGAGCCAACATAAAGCTTTGTAGAATCAGTCTGGCCATGATGTCCTCTGATTCACCATGAACTATAGGTTTAGAGATTAGAGATATTCTAATCCAGTTGACCAAGGCATGAAGAATTCTCTGTTTCATCCACAGTTACTGCTTGACTCCTGTGCTTACACACTGAACAGTTCTGTTACCCAAGGTACCATTGTCTTTGCATGGCAGAGCCAGGGCCAGGCCTAAGCCACCCACCCTGATTCTCAGGTTGCTTCTGATAGTTTATGCTGCTTTCCTTTAGCATGTCTTAAGAAGGAAATACTAGATTAATAACTCTTTAGAACTGATTTAAAGCTTCTATTAATCTTAACCCCTCACACCCTGGGAAAATAATCTTTTAATGTTTTAATCTTGATACCATATAATCTTGATATCCAATTTGCAATAGAAATTGAAACTTTTTATTTTAAATGAAGTTTACTTTTTATTCTTTTTTGAGAGAGAGAGAGCAAGGGGGAGAGAGCATTCCTGCAAGCGTGCACAGGGGAGGGGCAGAGGGAGAGGGAGAAAGAGAATCTTGACCAGGCTCCATGTTTAGTGTGAAGCCTGATGCAGGCCTCAGTCTCACAATCATGAGATCATGACCTGAGCCAAAATTAAGTTGATGACTGACTGAGTCATCTAGGTGCCCCAGAAATGGAAACTCTTGCATACAATTTTACAATGATTTTTTTAGACCCACATAATGTGTCTCAGTGGAAATGGCCTGAATTTACAGTGAACCAAGTGTTTTTCCAGTGTATCTATTTTAGTGAAATTTGTCTAGGAAGCTCTATTCCTACCTTTTTCTCCTTAGAAATCAGTGAATTGCAGTTTAAGTATTGCAGAGAAGTAACTGATAATATTTTAGCTTTAACTCCCTTACTTAGTATGGCTGTGTTATAGTATTAATTTTCAGTAGACACTTAAGTATGATTCTTTGGATTTTGTGACTGGAATGATTGCATTTTATTTTATTTTAATTGATTGATTGATTGATTAATATATTCTTAAGTTTACTTATGTACTTTGAGACAACGTGAGTGGGGAAGCACCAGAGAGAGGGAGAGAGAGAGAAACCCAACCAGTCTCTGTGATGGCAGCACAATGTGGGGCTTGAACTCAGATCATGACCCGAGCTGAAACCAAGAGTCAGAGCATAATTGACTGAGCCACCTCAGTGCCCCTGGAATGATTACATTTTAAAGTCTTTAGACCTGACTTCTTCAAGAATCAGTCTCACATTGTCAGTTTTACGTTCCAGAGAAGACTTACAGCTTTTTGTAATGGAGGCTCCAAAGGAGCCAATAGAAATCTAACAGTGCAAGGGTGGAGTCAGGTGATATTTCACTGCTGGTTTGTATGTCACTAACTCTCATTCCTAATTATTTTCTGGATTTTCTTTTTAAACATATTTTGTGAATGTAAGACTTATTCATCATGAATACAAAATATTCCAATAACATATTTTGCTTGGGATATATATTTATGCAACAAATATGATTGTTCCAGCTAATTGTTTCCTTTTATGATGAGTACTTTGCGTATCTGGAGGATAAGAAGAAGGTAGGCTGAAATACCTTATATTTATCTTTATAAGGTATATGTGAAATTTTAGCGTGGTTCTGTTTTTTAAAGATTCATTTTAAAGAGTTCCCATATGATGGATGAATGAATAAAGAAAATGTGATGTGTATAGATAGATAGATACTGAAATTTCATATTCAGCCATGAAAAAGAAGGAAATCCTGCCATTTGCAACAACATAAATGGACCTTGAGAGCATTATGCTAAGCGCAATAAGTCAGAGAAAGACAAATGCTATATGTTCTCATTTATATGTGGAATCTTAAAGAAAAAAAAACACTGAACTCATAGAAATAGAAAGTAGACTGATGATCACCAAGTGTGGAGGTTATTGGAGGCAATAGATATAGGTAGTTAAAAAGAACAGACTTCCAGTTTATTCTGGGTATCTAATGTACAGTATAGTGTCTATAATTAGAAATCCTATATTGTAGAGTACTGCACTTGAATGTTGCTAAGATCTTTAAAGTTCTTGCGACAAAAAAATAAATTAGTAAAAGAAACTATGTGAGGTGATGATGTATTGCCAAACCTTATTTTAGTGATCATTTCTCAATATGTAAATAAATCATCATGTTATACATTTTAAACTTATAATGTTATATGTCAATTATATTTCAATAAAGCTAGGCGGAAGAGGAGACTATAATAGTAACTATATCATAGAGTAATTTAATTTATCATTAGTAATTTAAAATTTGGAGGCAAAACATTGTAAGGATTATTCCATCTATTCCCAATTAATTCACTTATCATAAGGAAATTCTTATAGGGTTAGAGGTAGTTTATTTTGTCACTGTCCACTTGGGCAAGGTAACTGAGGACTTATGCAAGTCTGGGATCAATGCTCACAGACCAGCCATCTTTTTATTTACTAATTCTAAAGAGGGGCATTGCTCTGGCCCCAACTGTTCTGGTAGATTTTAAGTAACCAGAGGCCAGAACTTTGTCTTATTTACCTCTGTAGCACCCCTCACAGCTGGTGCAGTGTTGGATCATTTCTGAACAGGTAAGAAGTAAGTAAGAAGGTTGTGATCGCAGTGATAAGGGACCAGACCTTTATTTGTGGCCTTCAGTGCTCTCACTGTTTCCAGAGTTTTGCTTTAGTACTCTCTGTGTTTCATTTTGCTAACTTTTCTTTATCCATTTATGTCAGTTAAAAGAAGAAACAAGAAGCTGTATTGCGGCTTCAACTGAATATATTGGTGGAAGAGATTAGTTACAAATTTTAGATTGCACCCTAACTTGGATTCTAGGATTCTGACTCCATATCCAAATTCAAATGAAATGAAATTATATAAAGATACCCACAAATAACTGTCTTTCCTCATATTTAGGTTATACATCCAGTCATTCTAACTAAATATCATTGCTTTGTGCCTGTTTTCCTATTTCAGTACTGCTTAGGTAAATAGATACAACTATCTGAAAGTTATGTTTAAGTTTATGGCTTAAAACCCAGATGTATTGGGTTATTTTATTTTCAGCTCTCTTTTCAGCCTTTTTGTGACTATTTATAAAACTCATTTTGGAACAGTTTTTACTCTATTACAGTATCACTTGAGAGCACATGCTGAACATTATCAAGTTCTATAGACTGTCAACACTCCAGTTCTAGCATGTATTTATTATTTGAATTCTTAATGTGAATCTAATCACTTTTGACTTAAATTGCTATAGTTTGTCTCTAATCTGTTTATTGATTTCCACTGAATAATGACTACAGGTTACTAATTAAAAATGCTAATATTCTCATTATAAGAATACAGAATCTGTATTGTTTTCATTCAGGTTTTTTCCAACCATTTTATTTTTTATTCCTATACTGAAAAAATTTATTTTAAGTCTGGATATTTCTGTGAACTACCTGAATATTCCTTTAGGGTTACACATCTG